AAGTATGGCTGCTGTTTTACAAACATTCATTTCTAGGTATCTTTTATCTGAGATACAGAAGGCCTTGTTGTGACGACAAATGTGCCATCTTTGCAGTCTTTTCAGACTCAAAATATTTGGTGCTTCTGAAGCATCTGGGAAGTGCAAATCAGATGCATCTTCCAACCCTGAATTTTAGCTAAGCTGAGGAAAAGATGAGTTAAGAGTTTTGCCTGCATTTACACAGAATTGCAAGGAAAGCCTCAGAAAGAGAACCCAGGAGCCCCATCCACTAGTAGGATGCAATAACTACTCGATCACACTTACTTTCTGTTAACCCAACTGATTTAAGAACAAGAAAGGTTATGCTGTTTCCAGGTTTATTGGGTAGCTCCTTCTAAAGAAAACTGGGGCAAGACTGATGGATACTCTCTCGTTGGTCAGCTTTTGGTATTTGTGCCAATCTACTTTCTGAAAATTCAGTCTTGGAGCTGGTCTGGATGGTGTGGACTGGAAAATTATATTGTCTACACTGATGAGTGAGGGCCTATGCTGGTATGATGGAAACCTGTCCAATACTTTTTAAAATCAAGTCACCTTTCTGCCAGGCAAGATCTAGGTTTGTCTGAATGTTGCAGCTCCTTTGGGTCATATATGAGAGTTATATCATTCAGGCTTACCCAGAGACGAAGATTGTCTCTGTTAGCAGAGTATCCCCAATCTTGATGTTGATAATTGAAGTCTCCTGCATATAAGGTTATCTGGTCATAAATAAGCTATTGACACCACGGCAGAGGGTGGCTTGTATATAGTGACAATGACTATATCATTGACCTGGACTGCGCTCTATTCTATTGCACCCTGGGAGGTGCTCTGTCTCTTGATAATGTATGGTAGGTCATTTCTGATAAAGGCAGCAAGGCCATGGATCCTCCTGGCTATAGAGGCTGCAAGACTGTAGCCTGAGAGCTTCTGCAGCTGCTCTGTATGTGCTTATTGGAGAAGGACTGCATGTGGTTTCATTTCCCTGGTGATGCATTTGAGCACTGATTGCTTGAGTGAGATATAGCCTTCAACATTTAGTTGAAGAGCAGTCAAGGCTCCTCGATAGCAGAGATTGCTCTGGCCCATCCTGTAGTTAGTAGATCAAAATTGGAAAGCATGGCATATCAAAACTGGAAAAATTGAAAGTCTGATTGCCTTGGTAGTGACTTTAGTTTCACTTTACAGCTGCTCATGGGAGGTACCACGAGAAGGTCTGATACTCCTCAGGGCATATTGATCTGTATGGATGCAGATGCCCTCTTTGCAGCAGGTTCAGCTGTGCTACAATATGTTGCAAGGGCTGCTGTCCCCCAGGGTTGGTCCTCTGTCCCTACCAGGGGCCTCTAGGAGTTCCCCCTATGCCTGCACATGTCCCCCAACCTAGGGGCATCAGTACAATAGGCTCATTGGTGTCCAGCATGCTTTTCTGGCTGCTGCCTCCAGTTGGGGCACTACCTGTAAGTGGCCGGGGGAACCCCTAGGGCATATCTGCAAATGGGTGTTTCTGCACTTACTGACTTGCGTCCAAAATTGGGGTGGGCACCTAGGGCCCTTATCCTTTAGGATTGGGCCTCTAAGACCAGGGGATTTTTTGCCACCTCCCACCATAAATAAACAGATATGAGCCCCAAAAAGGCAGCACAAATTGTTAGTACCTTTGTTGGTGCCACAAAATATAAGCACTTATGGTGCAGCAAAGGGCTATGATGCCTGTTTGCTCAGCTTTTGTGCCACCATAAACATTTTTATGGGGGCGCAAAGTCACCATCTGTTTGCAACCTATGATGGCATTAAAGGGGTAGAATGGTTCAGTGGATAAGATGCTGAATTGGGACTGAGGAGATCTCCATTTTATATTTTGCTTTCCATGAGCCTGCTAGATGCTGTTAAGCAGATTGCTTCAGCGTGTGCTCTAGCATGTCCATCTGCAACATGGGGATTATGACATGGTCCTTCTCTGTGAAGCAATTTGAAGTCTTTTGAAGGGGAAAAAAAGGCTTATGTAAACCTCTCACAACTTCTTATTACTCTGCAGTTCTGAATAATTGTGGGCATAGAAGCCCAGAACGTAACTTTGGCTGTGGCCCTGTCTCCAGGACATGAGTGTAAGCCCAGGGGGAGCCGGGAAGGTTAAAGTTTAGGGTGAAACTGTGTGCTGAAAAATATGGACTATGTAAGAATGCAGATATTGGAAAACACTTCTAAAATATGGTGCTCATGGGTTGGTAGCTCCTCGTTCAGAAGGCCAAAACACACACACACACATGCACGCGCATGCGTGTGCGCACACACACACACACACACACACACACTGCTCTAACTCTCGAGTTTAAATGGCTTGCACTGATTTACTCAGTACTGTAGGATCAATACATAGCTACTTTCCTCATCATTTAACAGATGCTGTTTGCCTTCCTATTGTGCAATGGAAGCCATTAAAATGGGTCAGCTCAAGAATGCCAAGTTCACCAAAGTTTTACTTTGAAGGTCAAAGACTCCTCTTAGAGGGCCATACTCAAAAGTCGGGTAGTTTTGTGACTTGGAGTTATGCCTCCATGTTGAAGTTGTACAGTCCTGTTTCTCCAGCAGGGTTACAAATGCCCGATTGCTGGCTGCTCTGTTCTCACTTACGGTAACGGCGATGGATTAAGAATCACAGGCTTTGGCGAACGTCTACAGACAAGGCAGCGAATCCCAAGGGTCCAGTTCAGGGAAAGTTGTGCAGGTGTCATAATTAGCAGTTTCCTGTAAAGTTCCACAAATAAGCTGCAATCCTCAAGATACTAGTTTCTGAAACCCCTTGCAGATTTGTTTTCAGACCAAATAATATTCATCTGTAACCTATTTAATTGCCCAAGCTGTATATTTAACTACCCTAGACCCACTGGTCCAGATCTTACAGAGAATCAGATGTGAATGGGGATTAATGGTTTCAGCCGCTCATACCAGGCAGCTACCATGCCGAGTGCAATACGACCTTAAATGAGGCCTGCCTGCACAGTGGGTGAGTCAGACCTAACTGGAGGACTTCAGTTTCCTATGTTGTCCCTCCTCAACCTTCAAGACCAATAAACATGTCATAAAGGGAAGGGAGGGAAAAAAACTCGCAAAGGTAGGAAGACAAACATGGCCATTAATAGCCTCGACATATGCTAGAGCCACCTTCAAGTGAAAGTTGAGGTACCAGACTTTTTCATGCTTGCACAAGAGAGAAAGATTGAAATAAAAGCCCCCGAACGTTCTAGCCCTAACACAAATATTTCCAGCCCAAAGAGTTTCCCCCACCTAGAATGATGGAATAAAATAAAACCAGTTGTAGACGTAAAAAAGGTCATAGGTTAATTTCCAACGTAAGTGCTTGTCGGCTAGGTCCAGGAAAGTTTCTCCGATTCGGTAATCAGCAGGGCATCTGAGGACTTGCATGTTTTTCACAGTACAGGAGAACAACCAGTGCCAGCTGGAGACTTCAGCCAAACTGTATGCCTTTGAGCTTATATGTTGCACATCACTGACGGCTACATGCTACTTTCAACTGGCATTGCGCTCCATTTGATATATCTGGGGAGGGAGAGAGTCAGCTGAATAATTGCATGGGCTGATATGTTAGCTCAGACATCTTTCTCCCCCTCCCCCCCGCTTTAATATACATTTTTGGACATGTTCATTTGGGAGAAAGAGGGGCAAGAGCTTTAGCATCTTTATTTGTTGTTCTGTTTAGCCTCCGAATATTGACAAGCTGCATAGATGTTACCTCCTTCCCTTGGGCATGGCCCTCTGGGGCACTTAAGGGGTCTGACAAGGTTTTAAAAACAGATCACAGCCGAAGCAGGGAGAAATAAAAGCTTCAAAATCTGTTTATTCTTAGATGGAGGCTTTTGGAATGAATATTGTGCAAAGGATGGGTGGAAATGTGCAGCAACTAGATTAAGGTAACCTTGGCGTGTATTGTCTCCTCAAGCAGTAAGTAAAAAAGCCGGAAGTTATGTATGCGGACAGCACAGGAGGAGAGAGCCTGAGTTTTATTGTGGCAGTTTGCTTCTGAAAACTCATACTAAATGCATTGCATAGGATTCTTTTATTTAACCAGTCTCCGTTACTGGTTCTTGCCTTTAAATTTTCCATCTAGCACCTATGAAGGTGTGTACAGGCAACATGTGCATGGTGCAGTGACTCTGAGGAACAGCTATTCTCATTCCTCAAATTCCATCTATTTGTTTGATTAGAAGGTAAACAGAGCGAGAGAGACGCATACAGAGAAAGATGCTACAATTTTCATGGGGGATCACAAATATTTCTGTGGTCATTTCTACATGAAAGCTTTGTTTGACTTGGCTGTAATTTTTTAAGCGATTTAGCTCCATACAAATCAATTTGTGAGCCGCCAAAACTGCATGTCAGATATTTGGATCTGCAATTTTGGATGTGCAGATTTAGCGATTATGATGACAATCTGGCTTTTCATTCATTAGTTCATCCACTTGTTTTCTCCTGAACTGTGCAGAAAAAAAAATCAAATGACTTATTTAAGTCATCACATTCAGTAGACTATACTTGGCTAAAACACAAGCCATTATTGCTTAAGTTAATTTTGTTTTCAATATTGTGTCTGCCAACAAATATCCATACAGTGAATATAATTCATTTAAAAGAGTTCTCATCTGATGGCTACTCTTTCTGTACATGTGGAAAAAAGACCTTCACATCATCCAAGTGAAAACGAGGCCTGTCATGGCCCAGAGCAGGTTTTCCAAGTGAACCATGCGGTCTTTTCCTTGTGCACCAACAGGAAGGAGCAGTATTTCCCAGCTTGAAATTTCCCTCATGTGCTCTACTCCTGGCATCTAAGGACCTTGATTATAGAGAAAATGTACTGATGTGAGACTACCAGCTATAGGACACAAAGCTAAAGTTCATAATAATAATAGGTTACATCCACAAAAGAACCTGAACTCTTTGCTTTTATTTTAGCTCTTTGGATGCTGTTATCCAGGAGGCCCAGTGGTTAAGAGTCTGGGATGCAGCAGATCTGGGTTCAAGTGCTCTTTTCTTGACTTCCTGCATGACTTTGGGTAAGTAATTTAAGCCGTTTCCTTTAGTTCCGTCTCCTTAAAATGGGTATAATAATCCTCGGCAGTGTGAGAGGATGCTCACATACTATAGTAGTGGGGACCCTGTTGGTTTAAGATAGAGGCTTTTATGTCACTTCCTTATGGAGGGAAAGCTTGTATGAGAGCCACGTTTTGCAGTATATCCTACCGAGACACGACTTAGGAGCGCGTCCTGATTTTGAATGGGCAGAGAGTTCCTGATCTTAGCTTAGGAGTTTGACTTAATTTCTGAGGCACATATAGCAACAAAGACGCAGTGGACAGGGGGCCTTGGAGTAATGTGAGATTCAAATGGAGCAGCAGGAACACGGCTAAAGGAAGGTTTTGCTGGCTTTAACCCAACCCCTAATACATACTAATGCTCTTGTCTAACGCTCTTGGTCTCCAAGAGAGCCATTTCTTTCCGATGTGCCAGGGAAGCATGTGACTTCCTCTCAAATAGGATTTTTTAACTCATCTAAGAAGCAACTGTAGATCCACCTCACTAAGAGGAGTCGCCCAATGGAGTAGGCAAAGCCAGGGATCATCTGAAGAATGTACTGTCACCGGATCTGCAAAAGCAGATGGAAGAGACTGGGACCTGTTTAGTGGAATGGGCCTATGGAGAAGGACAGAGCCAGAAAGCTTTGGAGGGTTTGGGGAGTTTAGTTAAACAGTCTACCATTTAAATCCCCAGCCAAACTGTACCTCAACACTTTGCCTTTAGTATTCATTTAGCACCATTTCTAATGCTGCTTTACTACTTTATGAGAATTAACCCCACATCATGAGACTCATTCTGAGACATAAAATGACTGACCCCTCTTGCAATAGCAGAGCTGTTATCTTATTGTGTCCCATAGGAAGGCTTGTGAGAGATGCTGTGTGTATAGGTCTGTGCATACGGTTTAGGTTTCTACCATCCTGATACTATTCACACCAGATGATCTCAACCAGCATTATCTACCATGAAAAGGGTAAGCTGATCATTAATCTTTCAACCTTATCTGTCACATGCAGCAAAAGCACGGGGCAGATGGATAGAAATAAATTCCAGCTCAGCTGGGTACCTGCAGGGCAAATGTAACACCTCGTGCTCATCTCTTGACAATCTTTTGGGAATGAATCTCTATTCTCAATATGAACGATGTGCAGTGTGGGCCAGTTTTTCATATAGACATGACAATCAAGGGTCTGGAATTTCTTGGGGTTTGGATGTGCTGCATTGTTAATACTTGTGTTACACATGAGCAGGTGGAGGCTGTGTTTTTTAGTTGTTATTTATTAACTGCTGATTATTAAGTGGAACTGCCTCGTTCACCCTGTCTCTGAAATCTTCTGCTATTCTTAAGAAGGGCAAGGCCATGGCAGGGCTAAGGTGACTGAATAAGCCCATGGCATGGAGGCAGGACCACTGGGAACTCCACCTAGGTGTGCCAGAGCCCATGGATGATTTTATTTCAGCCTTGCACCTGACCCATGTGGAAATAGTTTCCCCCTCAAACTTCCTTTGCTTGTCACATGGTAGTGTATTATGTCAAGTTACGCATCAGCATGTCCTGTGTTTATTTTTTAGGCTACTCATTTAAAAGGGATCGGTTAAAGAATTTGGGATAAAAGAAGTCAGTGCTTTCTCACACAGGAGAGGAATGGTCTGTCACTGGAGGCTGCAGAGTCAAATGCTGCAACTGGAGTTGAATATAAGGGCTGTGCGAAACAGCACTCTTCCGTTTTGCCTTCAGTTTCACTGGTTCGAAGGAACAGTGTTCCATTCCGAATTTCATTTCGATTTGAAACAGCTGTTCCATTCCGTCAAAACTGAAAGGCTGTTTCGATGCTGTTTTGATGTTTCGCTGGGGGTGGGAAGTCAGCCCAGCTGAGTTGACTCCCCATCCCTGCTGCTAGATCAGGCAGGGAGAAGCATAGAGTCAACCCAGCTGGGCTCACTCCCACCCCTCCACGCTGCTATCGGGTGTGGGGCGGAGAGTCAGCCCAACTGGGCTCACTTCCCCCTCTGCGCTGCGACTGGGTGCAGGTGTGTAGAGTCAGCACAGCTGGGTTCACTCCCCGCCCCCCGTGCTGTGATCGGGTGCAGGAACGGAGAATCAGCCCAGCTGGGTTCATCCCCTCCTCTGTGTTGCGATTGGGTGAGGAGGCAGAGAGTCAGCACAACTGGGCTTACTCCTCCCGCCACAGCTACGATCAGGCGTGGCGGCAGAGAGTCAGCCCCACTGGGCTCCTGATAACAGTGCAGGGGGGTGGAAGTGAGCCCAGCTGGGCTGACTCTCTGCCTCCCCCAGCCGGATCGTAGCACCCCCCATTGGATTGCAGCGCTGGGGTGGGGAACTGAGCCCAGGCTCAGTTCTCTTCCCCTGTGCTGTTATCAGCTTCCAGCAGTAAGAGACGGGGAGAGCCAGGGCTGCGATCCTGGCTGGTGTTGGGAGCGCAACCCTGGTTCTCCCTTGTCTCTTGCTGCTGGCTTTGAAACTCGAAACGTTTCAAAAGTTTTGAAACGTTTTGAGTAGCTTTATTTTGTTTTGAGGCTGTTTCGAAGCCCTTCATTTCAATTAGATCTCACTGTTTTAAGCTCAAAATTAGTCAAAATAGTGTCGAATAGAAACCACCGGCAACATTTTGCACAAGCCCTGTTGAATATCAGTCTCCAAATCATGTAATGATCCCTAACAATGGTTTGTGTTCATTGTTCATGAAAGGATAAGGGTTACCCAAATACCAAGCCTTAGGACCTGAGATGCATAAAAGTGGGCCTAGAGATCTATTCATGTTGCCTCAGGCCAGAATCAGGCCATCCAGGGCTGAAACCACAATATCTCATAGGAGTCCCTGAGTTGTTGCCTCACCCACACCCCTGGAGGAGCCACCACCTTCCTGTCTAGAGGCAGTGCTTTCACCATCCCACTTCAAGTAGCCTAAGAGTCCTAGATTTTCCAAAAAGAAAGGGGCCATTATGATCATCCAGTCTGCCTTCTTGATCTTCTCACTTCCAGGATACTACTTCATGCCATTAAGTAGCATGGGCTTTAGCTAAGTGGAGGGAGACCTCAGCTACCACCCATGTGAACAGCAGTCTCTGAACACGTATAGGGGCTTTTGCTCACACCGCTCTATCAGAGCCATGACAAGGTAGCATCACTGAGACTGCTCCAGGGTTGCGGATGCCAGCAGCAAGTGCCATTCACATTGGTTAGAAACTCTGTTTCGGACTTTGCAGACTCAGGCAGAAATCACTGCACTGATTATAGGTGAGTCACATATTCAAACTTTTTTCATATCCATAAAGGCTGGAGGCATTTTTTTTCTTAAACGAAAGCAGAATTTTGGAGGAGAGCACATGGCTCCAAGAGCTGGAAACCCCAATATGGGCCTCTGTCTCTGCTAACCCTTTCTGCGATCTTTATGGCTAGTCATGTCTATAGCCAACTCTCAAAGCCAGCTCCCTTCTTGATACAAACTGAAGAAAAACTCTGAACCCAAAAACTCCTTCATTTTTAAGATGTTCAGATCTGTACCTGGGCTTTGCATCTTGGGTCCGTCTTTCTCCCTGTGTGCCTCCCATAGCAATTTACTATGTACATGATGGGTATTTCTTTTTTTCACCTGTTTCTGAAGCTTGAAGTTTTGGTCACTGTCAAAAGCAGGACCTCAGGCACAAGATGTAGGATAAATCCTGTCTTCTGGTCCTCAAAGCCAGTCTTATTAGTAGCCTATGTTGTTCCCATAGGTTTTTTTTCACCATCAGGGGTAGGCAATTATTTAGACCCATGGGCCACATAGGGAGATTGGTTAAGTTATCCCAGGCTGGGTCAGCACACTCCTTCCTTCCCCCTGCAACAATTGGCCAAAACTCACTATGCGGGATGGGGTTGCAGGCAGGCAGGGAGCAGTGTCCAGGAATGGGATGGGCAGGTAAGGCCAGGATCATGTGTTGGGGGCATGGGGCAGTGACAACACAGGGGGTGGGACACAGCCATGACCTGCTTTTTGCATGCCCTTGCCTGTGGAATCCATGCCTGATGCAGGGATGTGTGGGCAGCGGATCATGGCTTGGCTCCATGCTGTCACTGCCCCAAGATGCTGGGACTTCTCCAGCTCCACCCACCTGTCTTGCTTTCGGATGCCCAGCTGAACACCCTGCTTGTGTGGGTCCTGCCCCCAGTAGTAGGTGCAGGGTAGATGGGCCTGGCTTCTGGGTCTACCATTGGCAGCCAGACCCAGTGGCAGCTGGTTGGAAGGGCTGCCAGGAAATGGAATCCAGCTGCTGCAGTACCCCATCCCCGCAGCATCTGGGGGGTTGTGGGACTGGCCATTTGAGTTTGGGCTGGTGGGACTGAGGGACCCACTATGGGTCGCACATAATGCCTTGGTGGGCCGGATTCAGCCCATGGGCTATATTTTTCCCACCCCAGTCTACACTGAACAGTCTCTGCACATCATTCTAGTACTGTGCATTTTTCAGCTCAAAAGACTACACAGAAAATCAGCTATACATTTCTTATTTCTATTGTAATTAAGGGGAATTACATACATAATGACCATGTTCCTTTCCAACCCACCATAAAACTGGACCTCAGAGTGCCTAGAATATAAATATTTTGAATCCTTAAACATTTACCATGCCCAAGAAATGCTCAAAATTTGAGTAAATCGACACATTTCTGCATTATTATTATTATTTTAACATTCACTAGCCTATTATGATAGGCAACGAGTAATCCATGTCCTAGAGAGTCTTTTGCATCAGGGCCAGTAGGGTTGCTGTTATTTAACTAATCATACAAAGTTGTGAGTAGCCTGAGCTGATTCTCCTACTGATGTGTACAGTACTAGGCTACATACCTCTATTGTAGTCATGAACCTTTATGGGAAACTACTGGTAGAAACTGTTATAGTATTGATTTTGGCTAGGAACAGATATTCAAAAAGCCTGAGCCTAAATTGATTCAATCTTTGCAGGTTAGTCT